GATGGACACAGACAGACACAGACACACACACACACACACACACAATTAAAAGAACTTTCCTTGTACTATCACCATCCCATTTTGTAAACGTAGAGAATGAATCCAAACTGACAGACAAAAGAGAAACCTCCTACCCTGCTAAAAAGAAGGAAGGCAGAAAGAAGAAAGGAATCACTGCTACTTAATAGAGAAAACAAAATATCTAAATTATCAGGCCCAGGTTTATGTCATAATCAACATCAGAAAAGTCACCTGGAACACTGAAATAGGCAAAGGGTTAACTGGATGTTCTTTCAGTACTTTCGATTAATGGACTATTTTACAACTTGTTGGGCCAGAGGTTAATCTGTAGACTTTTGTCAAGTAGAAATAATTCTGAGCCAGAGAAAAAGACACTCTCAAAGTTAACTTTCATGCATTATTTTTTATCTAGGGCACCATTCTATGAAACTGAGTACTAGCTTCTCAAATGCTCTTTGGACTAATTTTCATATCTTACTGGTATCCTCACTAATTAATGAGTTGAAGAAAATCTTCAACACATATTCATTCTATATTTGTATGAGTCATAATTTTACCTGTTGGAAAATTATACTAATTAAGATGTGTTATATCCATGTACCAATGCCACACAAGGAATGTAAACATTATGTATGGCAAACATACTACTACTAATAATAATAATAAATTAATGAAAAGAAAAAAAAGCACTAATTTTTAACATTTGTTTCTATAGGTGACAATAGCTTATATGAATTTAAAAACTTCTAAAATTTTAATTACCTTAGTTTGACTAGATTTTTAATATATACAATAATTGTAGAAAGAATTATAAATTGATAAACACTGTAACAATAAGACTACCTATGCTTAAGTCTAATTATAGGAGAATGAACTACACTATAAATTCTTGTATCATTACTATAAGGTCAAAGGTCCCATTTATGGCTAAAAGATATAGGGAGAATTTCCTCTAAGAGTACGAATTGGGCTGGGAAAAAAACCTGAAGGACAAATTGGGAGAGTTCAAAACTTTGCTTCTCCTCTATTTTGTCTGCACATGAGAACTGTTTATAAAGTATTTTAAAATACTGTAGGCTTGGGCCCTAACCCAGACAAATTAAATCTGAGAGTACAACTTAGACATCAGTATGTTTTAAAAGTTTAATCTATCCTCACAGCCACTTTTCCTAGATGTTTTGGACTCTCTCCAGCCTCTGCAAACTATAATACAAATAGTGAATATAATTATGGCTAATTAACCTACAAAGATTGTTGTCATTACCTCTACATTACCAAAAGGAAAATAAGTAAAAGTACACATAAGAATTAGTAAGCTGTATCTGCATTTCATTTTTTGGGTTCAGATTTTAAGAAAAGATATTTTTACTAACTACAAAGTTAGTTAAAAGGTGCTTCCAAATGAAAATCAAAGTTATATAAAGATCTCAAAAATGTAAGCAAATGGAAAACAGATTTTGCTCTATAAACCTCATCTGGCATAACTACTCATCTACTTGGTATGGGAACAATACTACTTTGGACTGAAAAATGCTGTAACATATCAAAATGTAGACCTAAACTTACCAAAGCAAACTTGAAATTTTTTATAAAGCTGGTTTTAACACAGTATATTTTGAAAGTTTGATGAACAAAGGCTAAGAAAAAAACTCTTCCCAACTTGTTGACTACTTTCTTACTTTCCACTGTTTCCAAACCTACTTTTGTCAAACTTCCCAATGGACTTCATGTTGTTTGATTTGACCATCACAATCCACTCAGTTGGTGAAGTAAAAAGCCTAGGAATTATCCTTAATTCTTCCTTTTTCTCACCATCCTTATCTAAGGCAACAGCAGGTCCTGCCAATTCCTCCTCCAAAACATAAACTGGCACCTTTTATGTCTTTCCATCTTTTCTAACATCACAAACATATTTGGATTGGGCTGCCACACTTATCTCTACACCTGTTCCCTATTTTCCACTCCTGACCCCTCTTTAATGTATACTGCTACTGAAACCTGGGTAGCAAAGATAAACCGATTGTATTACCTCATCACTTTCTTTAAAACCCCTAACGCATTTTGATATTATCAGAAAAAAAAAAATCCCTGCAACATCAGGGTACCCCGCTCCTACCCACTTTCCCAAATCTTTCTTAAGGCTCTCCTCCCCACTCTGGCTTGAAGTCCAGTCAAATATTTTCAGCATTTGCACAGGTTTGCAGTACATAATATTTACAATGCTTGTGTAGAGTTGGTACATGTACCAAAAAAGGGGATCAAGATGTAGGTGGAGGAGCGAGGGAAGAGAAAGGGAATGAAAAAGAATTAAGATGTGTTTTATATATATATATTCCCACAAGGAATGTAAACATTATGTACTACACACATGTACTAATAAACTAAAATAAAAAAATATTTTAAGGATTTGCTACTTCCATACTTTTTCCTAGCTCTTCACACAGCCACTTCCTCTTATCCATCAGATTCCAGTAAGTGTTACTTCCTGACAGAGCTCTTCAATTTTTAAAGTAGTCCTCCCTTCACGATCTACCACACCACAGTGCTTATTTTCTTATAAAGTTTATCACATTCTATGAGTATATGGGTATATATGGGTGTGGGGAAGGGGTGTTTTCTTCCTACTGGGAGGATGGATCTTGTTTGTCCTATATGCCAAGAGTCCCTAAACCCTGGGCCATGGACTACTACCAGTCAATGGCCTGTTAGGAATGAGGTGGCACAGCAGGAGGTGAGCTGCCCACCAGGGAGCTATGCTCACCTGCATTTATACCTGCTCCCCATCACCTGCGCTAACACCTGAGCTCTGCATCCTGTCAGATCAGTGGCAGCATTAGATTCTCACAAGAGCACACACCCTACTATTAAATGCATACAGAAGGGATGTAGGTGGCACACTCCTTATGAGACTTTAATGTCTGATAATCTGAGGTGGAGCTAGACGGTGATGCTAGTGCTAGGGAGCAACTGCAGATACAGATTAACATCAGCAGAGAGGTCTGACTACACAGAGACCACAACAAATCGATTGCTTGCAGACATATCAAAACCCTATTAGTGAATGGCATGTGTCAATTAAGCTACATCTGGTGGCAGGCTTCACAGTGACAAGCTCATGTACTTCAATTATACAGCAGCAAACGGTGGCAGACTTTTAAGTCAGAATTCAACATTCATTCTAGTTCATCCTTGGCCCACTCATTTTATTTACAACTTCCACTGATGCCATTTTTCCACTGGGCACTTGGCTCAGTCACAGTTTGGTTGAGTGCACAAGCTAACCTTACCCAAAATGAGTAAAAACAAAACTTCAAAAACAGGTCTGTTTCGCTGCCACACAGATTGGGGACAGCTGCTACATGCCATCATTTCCTAGGCCCCAAAACAATAATGGCATATGCTGGGCCCTCAACAAGTTATTTGCTTAACTAATGAATACTAAAATGGTGGCATAGTCTATAGGACTAAACTGAAAATGAAATCACCTGGATTCTAGCCAGACATGGCTCTGTATCTCCACAGGTGCCTATGTGGCCTAGGGCATGCTACAAAATAGGAGTTAAAAAGTAACTAAAAGAAAGCGGCACCTGCAAGTATGAGGGGTTTTCTCCCCTAATTGTCTTGTGTCTTAATTCAGCATGGACATATGGAAGTCTTTAACCTCTTGAGTCTAAGTCTTCTCATCTGTGTGAGATTAACGTTCACTTCCATTTCAGAAATACCAGAATCATATGTAACTCAACCAGAACATTCCCTAGCCACCCCCTATTTACATCTCTTCTTCCTCCATGAATCAAAGAACTTGAAACCAAATATGACACAGGACATCTTATTAGCTAGACCTTTGCTCGTGACTTTGCCTTTTTCCCAGTTGAAACCACTGCAAATTATTCCCTTCAAAGCCCAATCGTTTCCTGCATCATCTAGTCCAAAATTAACAGGATCATTATGTATTCCAGAATTCCCTCATGCTTCAAATTTGAATAGTCGCTATTCTTACTACTAACTTAACCTCTCTCGGCCTCAATTTTGCAATCTGTAAAACCGAGATAAAAGAATTTGTCATACCTCATACTATGTTTGGATAATTCTAAATACTTATTTTAATAACAAACTGTTCAATAAATGTATTATTTATGTGCTACATATATTTTTTAACCTCCTAGAAGGCCCAGAAAGCAACTTTTTTACTTCAAAAGCTTAAAATCATCTCAGTGTCTTTGGGTTTTTCATTCCATAAAGTGAAAGGAATAAACTAAACCCGTTCTTTCTTTCTTCTTTATGTTCCTTTTAAAACTGAAGTTCTATACCTAGATCCTTACAGAGTCAAAAAAAAAAAAAAAGAAAAAAAATACCGCGGGTGAGTTCGTGCAACAATTCAAGAGGACTTTATCTCTACTGCAAACTGAGTTTTACTACAAATCTCTAATGCAAGTGTGCAGAAGCACTTAAAATAACGTTCAGGACCTGGAGATCTTCTCCCAAAAGACTGACTCTTGGTACATGAGGGATCATTGGAACTGTTAAACTGGGCTACAAGAATGAACGTAGGGTTCATGAACTATCAGGAAAAAAAAGTAATAATGTGCTCCGGCAAGACAATGGAAACTCTTCTGGAGCAACAGTGCCTGGAACATTGTTTAAAGGAGTCTGTGATCCACAGGGAAGAAAGGACGGCAACGAAGAAACTAGTCGTTCAATGAAGGAAGATCTTCGTAAGCCACAAACGGACGAGAGTCTACAAGACAAACCAACGCTCCTCACTTAGCACTAACCCCAACGAGCAAGATGACCTACAACCAAAGGAAGAAGCCAAGGTCGGCAGAAACCCTAAAGTAGCCAGCCCCGGGTGAAGAAAGGTCGGCGGAAGCAGTGCAACCTCAGAGTTCGGCACCCTTCCCAGGCTACAAGCAGTCTGAGGCCCGTGGCGCGAGAGTCAGGCCCAGGCCCTCGGCAAACCACGCTGCCCGCTCTCGTACCTGCGGGGTCGAACGCCATCTCGGCTGGCAGAGAAGGCAGCCGCGGTGCGGCTCCAGGGCAGGGGCGGGGCGGGGAGGAGCCTGGCGAGAGCGAGCACCCGCCTCTTCCCGCGGGATGAGGAGGACCGCGGCTCCCTCGGAGAGACAAGGCAAACCTTTTCCTTCTTCCTTTCCCAGTTCCTACTTCCGCTTCCCGTTGCGCCTGCGCTCAGCTGGCCCCGCCCCGAATCCTGTAACTGGAACAGGCTACTTCACCGAGGGACTGGTCCAGGAAGGGGTGTGGCTGCGCGCGCGCTCTGGGGAGAGGCCGCACGTAGGGCTGCAGTTCCGAGCCTGCGGCTTGTTCCTGCGACTCCCTGGGCTGCTGGGCCAAAGGCCGAGCGAGTCCCTCTCCCATCCCGCCTCCCGAGAACCGAATGAAACAGCCCGTTCCTTTATTTTGACTTCGTCATTCATTTATAAGTCTCTATTTTATGACTGCTAGGTTCCAGCGGCTCTTCTGAATACTAGGGAAAAATACGCAAATAAAAATAAAACCCTTATTCTCGCGAGGCACAAGCTGTTAAATGCCACGGGTGCAACAGGTGCACAGCTCATTCTACCATAAAAGTGGTGTATTGTCTGCAGTATCATTATTACTCCTTTAAATCAGTGGCTATGTCTCCCCTGGAGGTTAAAAATCAAAATGTGAGTGCTTAGGGGTACCTGTGTCTTGTGAAATAATACCTCAGGGCATACAGTCCAATTTGGGCTATGTTGTAAGTCCCGGTTCTGTGCTTTAGAGCTGTATGTCCTGTAAGAAAAATAAAGAAATGAAATAGCTATTCTCTTTAAGAACCCCAACTACCCTCTTCTCAACAGTACAAACTTTTGGGTGGCATTTAGGTCCATTTCGACTCACCAAACAGCTTTCAGAAGTGATTCCTCCTCAGATCCACGTTTAACTATCTTGAGCCTCCAAAGGGTGAGATACGGCCAGGGACAGATGGGACAGATGTTTCGAAAAACAAGGAGCAGCTGCTTCTTCCCTGCAAGGGATTTAGGGCTTTCAAAATGATCCCCTCCCCACCTACCTGCAATCTCTCCTCTCCTGCTGCTGCTTCCTCCTGGTCAGTTGGCAGAAAAGACAACACAGTTAAACAGAACTGGGAAAGTGGGTCTCTGCTCAGCAGGTCTTCCGTTTAAGGGCCTCTTTGAGCATAAAGGCCCTTATTACAGCTGTAGACTCACGTGCCAAGGTGAAGAATTTGTTTCACTCAGCCAGGCAGGAAATCGGGTCCTTTTCCTTGTATGTTTTATAAATGCTTAGACAGAAAAAAATCACTCCAGTGCCCTTCTGTTTTCTTGAAGGTAAAGGATTTAATTTAGAAATTAAAAGCAAATCTTTTAGAGGAGATGAGGTGGGGTATTAAAATACAGGCCATACACTCACATTTGAGTAATTAAGATTAATCTTTCTTTTTGTAAAGGGGTTTCATGTAAAGGGAATTATTTTGGAGAGCTTCACTCACAGCGAGAGATATGGGTACCTTCACTTGAATCCTTTAGCCCTATTAGCTGTGTGACTTGAATAAGTCCCAGTGTTTTCCTATACTTTAGTTTCTAATTCACGAGGTCATTTTTAGGAATAAGTTTATACAAACACATTCAGAATATGTGAAAGACCACTTCTATAGTTTTTTCTGTAGCTATCACTTGAATTGTTATTTAATATTTTATTTAAATCAATTCACTTTTCAAAATGCCTATATAGGAACTGTCTAGTCTTATCCTAAGCAATAATATTTGTAAAATCATGGGCTTGATATGTCCCATAAAATTGACTGCTGGGCATATCACAACATGAGAAGTCCTAGTAAAAATTGCACCTAGAGCCAGGGGTTTAGCTCAGTGATTCCACCACCTGCCTCACATGCACAAGGTCCCGAGTTCAATCCCCTGTACAAAAAAAAAAAAATTGCACCTCAATGACTATTACATAATGCCTCTCCGTTCTCATGATAAACTAGTAACTTTGGAGAAAACTTTTGTAATCTAACAAACGAAGTCATTTTTGAAGGTTAAGTCAGAGAAATTGAATTGACAATTCAAAACAGAAGAAATTTCCTGTGGCATCAGATTGTTGATAGACAGTTCTCTGGACAGTAGCTACAGTAGGAGCTTGTAGAGAGAGCAGAGTACATGATAATGGATATTAGGAACTATGTATTATCTAACCATGATCACTAGGGCTCAATGTCTAGCACCTAAGGGCCCCAGAGTTGCCTTTCTAGAAGAATTGAATGCCAGGGTGGTTAGGAAAGATTTGAAAGATAAGTTAGAATTATGTTTAGCCTTGAAATATGGGACAGTATAAGGCATTCCATGCTAGGAGAAAAATTACAGCACAAGTATCTGGGATTTGAGCTGCTCTAAAAGACCAGGTGGAATATGGAAAAGGGAGAGGCTAAGGAATGGAACCATATGAGCAAAAAGCAGAGGAGTGAGAAGCACAGGGCTGGGGGCAGGCCTGTGGATGACAATGCCTGAAACCATTTCAGTTCATCTGAGGCTTTGGAAAGATAGGGTAATTATAAGTAAGATTTGGCAAGAAGAGTCCCAGTTCTTGTAGTCATAAACATTATGCTCAGACATGCTTGAAGTTATTTGATATAAGCAGTCTAGAGTGATTGAAGGCTAACAAACAGAAAAATAGTGCTGTAGTCAATATTTCAAAAAATGTTTTATAAAATTTGTGCAGGATGGACTTCAGCAGCAAGGAAAAAGCTAGGAGGGAAGTAGAAAAGTCGAAAGGTAATTGTAGTAGTTCAGACAGGATTTGAAAAGTCTGTTCTAAGTGCGATATATAGAATTGAAAAGGGAAAATATGTATATGAGAATAATTGCAAAAAATATATATACCTTGTTATTGGGCTTAGGAGACAAGGATACTTAAGACAAGTTTTAGATAAATTATTTCTTTAACAAATAAGAAAAGCATGATACTATGCGTATTTATGCATAAATTAATCTGTCCTTGATTTTCATTATTGAAAGCAATACTGAGACAAAGACTAGGTAAAGGGAGTTACAGTAATCCATGGGAAAAATGATACTGATTGAGCCAAGAGTCCTTGAAGACAAAGAGAAATAAAATACCTATTATGTAGACTGGACATTAAAAATAAACACACACACTCACCAATATGTTTGTGTGTGTCCTCCTTAATCTAATATTCAAGGAACGTACAAATAACATCAAAAATCTGGTTTATCAAGTTGATTCTGATTATATTTAGCATTTTTCATTGGTATGTGTTCATATGCCATTATTTATTTAAATGGTTAGCCCGTGCTTCTGATTCTGCCCAGCAAGAGAATGGTAGCCTTTCAACTTGTAGTTCTATTCAGCCCTATGTTTGAATAAATAACAATCAATTTTGAAAAAATACTAGAATCCCATCCCTATCAGTGGACAGACTTTGAAATTAGTTTTTGGCTAGGTCAACAGACAAGTGCTCCTGGTAGCCCTGCCTATTTTGTGAGCCTCATGGTTTAACACCCAGTCCTCATGGCCTGGGCTTTCTCTGATTGAAATGGACTTAGATCAATGACATTTGTATATATAGATCCCAGAAGATAACCACAGGTTTGAAATCACAGAGAAACTTCTTTTTTAAAAAAAAAATGTTTAGTTTTTGTTCATTTGGTTTTATTTTTTCCTCTCTCTCTGATTCCTTTTGTTTCTTTGCAAAGATGATCGTTTTTATTTTTATTTGTTTTTGTTTTCATTCTTTCATTCCCTCCTGTCTTCTTCACCAGTTTCCTAGAGCTTTGGTAATCTTCCTCTGTCCTTCACCCTTGCTTCTAAACTGTATTTCTGTTTTTCCCTGTTTGCCCTTTTAATTTTCTCCTCTTGGATTAAATTGCTCTATTGAGGGAATATTTACTGTTTATAATTTCCTGATTTGTCATAGATTTTGTTATATAACAAAAGGTTATGAGCTATGGTTAAAGGTGGCAAATTATTACTTACCACAGTTTGTCATTTTCCAGTCTGAGTTTGATGCTATTGTTATTGCTGATTGTACTACTTTAGCCAAAGTGACAAAGTTGCTGTAAACAATTGATCTTCCTTTTATGCCAATACTTAGATTGTCTGGGGGACATAGACAATACTACAGTCCAGTACCAAAGAATTGGGTGCTATGCCAAACAGCTTGCAAACTCTCATCACTAATAAAAATAAGAGGCAGGATCCTGGGACAAACTCAAAGGGGGCAAAGGAAGGAGGAGGAGAAAGGAAAGGAAAAGGGATTAAAAATAAAGAATGGACAAAAAAATGGAAACAAAGCTTCTGTAAATGGAGAGGGGAAGTGGGGTTGAAGGAGGGAAAACAGAATTAAGATATACTATGTACAGGTACAGATTCCCTATGGTGAATGTGAGCACTATGTATGGCAAATATGTACTAATAATAAATTTTTTTAAAAGAATAAATACAAGTGGCTATAAAATATATGAGTGTATCACTAATAATCAGGGAAATACTAACTACAATGAGCTGTCACCTCTTACTTTTTAGAATGGCTAGTATCCAAAACATGTAAGTGTTGGTAAGGATGTAGGTAAAGGAAACTCTTGTATGTTATGGAAGGAAATGCAAATTAGTACAAGCATTACAGAAAATAGTATAAAGGTTCTTCAAAAGCCTGAAAACAGAACTACTATTCTTATTACTCTACAACTTCCTTCTACTAGTAGTTGAAGTCTTACTACTGGGAATATATTCAAAGGATATGAAATCAATATATCAAAGAGAGTACTGCATGCCAATGTTCACTGCAGAATTATTCACAGTAACCAAGTTACAGAGGCAATGTAATTGCCACGAATAAGTGAGTAGCTAAACAAAATATTTTATATGTATACAGTGGAACACAATTCAGCCACAGAAAAGGAAATCCAACCATTTGCAGCACTATGCATAAATTTGGAGGATATTATCCTTAGTGAACCAAGGTAGGCACAGAAAAGCAAATCCTGCATGATATCACTTATATATGCAGTATAAAAAAGTGAAACTCATAGAAATAGAAAGTAAAATGGTGGTCACCAGAGATTGCGAATTGGGGGAAGGGGATGTTAGTCAAAGTACATAAAATTTCAGTTAGATTGCAGGAATGAGCTCAAAAGATCTATCATACATAATGGTGACTTCAGTTAGTAGCAACA